ACATATAAAATCTATTATATATATATTTTATATATATTTATATATATATATATATATATATATATATATATATATATATATATATATGCTTATATATATTATATATATTATATATATTATATATATTATATATATTATATATGCTTATATATATATTTATATATGCTTATATGCTTATATTTACAGTATTCTTAGAAGTAACACAAAATGCATAGGGTAGTGGAGCAGGTTAAATTTTCTTCGAAATTAAACAAAATAAAAGAAAAAGAAAAAGATAATTTGTCTTATCCGATAAATGTAAAGTTAATTATTAGATTGCGGATTTTATTCATTTATAGTAAAAATGAATAAATGATTTACAGAACAGGAAAAGCTCCAGAAGAATGTCAGATTATGCTCCTATTGTTTTTAATTTATTCAAGCTATTAAGATAACAGATAAATTTTTATATGATCATTGTTAACCGCAACTGACGCAAAAGGGTGTGGATCTTTATGAAAAATAAATATCTTTTGCGTCTGTCGCAATTAACAAGAATTATATAAAAATTTATTTATCTTTCGTTATCTCAATAGCTACAATAAATTGAAAACAATAGAAGAATAACCCTGAAATTCTTCTTTATGTAAAGTAAAAATTGTCTAGTTTAATAAATAAAAGATTTTGTGTCTTTTTTACGTTTTTTACACGATTACGGTATTAATAATCAGTATTAAAGTTATATTGCATAATATTACAGTATGAATTCAGTATTAAGTTAAATTGTTTAAATGTGTGTGTGTGTGTGTGTGTGTGTGTGTGTGTGTGTGTGTGTGTGTGTGTTTTCACTGTTTCGAATTTCATGTATTATTCATTTTTGTCATAAATGCATAAAATCCCCAATCTAGCTACAACAGAAAAATAGACATTTGTTCTAATTTAACCCTTTGCCGTACCATTTTCTTCGCAGTTGCGATGATTAGAACTAGTTCGATTGAAAATAATAATAATATAAATCACAAGTTTCGGTTGAATTTGAAGCTAAATCGTATGTTCCGACTAAATTTAATGCTGAATCCTATGTTTGGGCTAAAGTTGAAACTAAATCGTAAGTATTTGCTGAATTTCAAGCCAAATCGTATCTGTCGGCTGAATTTGAAGCTAAATCCTATGTTTCGACTGAATTTGAATCTAAATCATATGTTTTGTTCGAATTTGAATCTGATTCGCGTGATTCCGTTATTTATATTAATCATTATTTCTTGGAATAAGAAGAAAATTGATATTTATTACGTCCGTGCACCTTACTTAAATGCGATTTAACTTCAACAGAATTCGATTTCGACTTGCAAGAACACATACAACTGGAACAACAAAAAGAAAGAAATACCAGAAATTTCCATCACAAATTAGACTTTCGGCTAAGTACCCAAATCTCGAAAGTTCCTGTAAAATTGAACTGCCTGTACTAATCGAGCTAATTGAACTAATTGTACCGGACATTGTGCTCGACGACAGTTCGCAAATCATCGACCCACCCCTCACCGAGAAAAAGAATCTCTCTCACCTGTCGTGCGCAGCTTCCTCCAGGCAAGTGATGACCAGCTCGAAGTCATTCAGCTTTTTCTTCCCTAGAACGCTCTTCAGATGTCCGGCCAGCCTCTGCGCCTCGTCGGCCGGGAACTCTTGGCCAAGCAGCGATGTGATCCTGACGAGCTTGACGCTCTCGTTCCCGGCCAGAGCCTCGAAGAAGTCGTCGAGATACCTGGGGTCGGATCCTCTTTCCACTTGGAAGACCACCTCGAGCGCCTCCAAAGTGCAAGCAGGACTTTCGAGGATCCTGGCCCAGCCCTCCAGCTCGAGGGGTGAAGTGTGAACGAGGGGAGCGGGAGGTCTTTCGTTGGGGGCCGGTCCGAAGCCTGGACCAGCTCCTACCAGCCTGCAGACGGCGCTGATGTTGCCGTCGGAGGCTCCGGCAGCTTTCAGCAGAGAGAAGACAGCCCTCGGAGGGACCTCCAGCGGGCAGAGCTGGTTCAAGATCAAGTGGGTCTTGGGCCCCAGGAGGCCCGCCAGGTGACTGATGATGCCGGTCGGCAGACCCTCCAGCTCTCTTCGCAAGATGTTAGCGTACTGAGCCACCGAGGTCAAGTAATAGGCGGCCAGAAACTCCGCCACTGCCATGTGAACCGGCGAATAAAGGTCCGGCTTGCGTCTCTGGCCGAAGGTCAGGCCCTTGGTCAAGAATCCCAGCCTGGTGACCTCGATGCCACCGCCCCGGGCTCTCAGCTCGGCCTCCGTGTAGCAACATCTGCCTTCTCGCAACGCCGCCAATGACAGCTTGCCGAAGTCCTCCAGCCTCTTCCTGCAGTGGCCCGGGATCTCCTCGTTGTAGGGCACCGGCGGGTCCAAGCTCCGTTTTACGATGCACTTCACGGCCGCCTGCACCAACGCACTCGTCTCCGACGGCAAGCTACCGGAGTCCTGGAACAGAATCGGCCGGCGAGTGAGAAAGACGGCGCCGTCGTTCGGAGCGCGCAGACCTTTTTATTGCGGCTACGGCTGCTTTTTATGGGGAACTTGGTCAACCGGGGTTCACTGACCGCACTTGGAAAATCACCGATGAAGCGGCGAGAAGGTTTATCGCTTCGTTAACTCCAGGTTGAACCTAGATCGCGGGTTGGAGCCTGGTTCTGGGGAACTCAAAGGGCTGCTGATTTAGGGGAACGTTGGGGATTTCGGAGCATCTTGGAATTGGACTCGTTGGGAACACTTGGAGGATGTGATTGAGTGCGTTGCTCTTGATTGCCTGAGAATCTTTTACATGCACGGGGTGTAAGGTAATTATTTGTCAATTATTTGTATATCCCAATTGCTGGTTCGACACCTTTGGGATTTGCAGAGATTTGATTCAGAAAGTCGTTGCAAAAATTGACTTTGAGCATGATTTTCAAAGTCGTAATTTTGTTTAATCTCTACATCGTATAATACTCGTGAGGAGGAAAAATGGGAGGGTGTGTCCCAAAATTATGGTACTTCCGGAAAATGAGGGATTCCTGACAGCATTCGAAGTAACTTTTTCCTTTACAAATATTTTCTCCGAGGCATCGTTCACGAGTTATTAATAAAAAAAACACTGACCAATGAGAGGCAAGCTGGCCAACGGCGCTCATTGGCTCGACCGCCTCGCGCTAGCCGATCTCTCCTCTCATTGGTCACTGTTTTTCGTTAATAACTCGTAAACGAAGCCTCGAATTGCAATTTCGCTGAGGAAAAAGTTACTTCAAATGACATCAAGAACCCTTTATTAGGAAGTACTGCAATTTTTGGACACCCTGAATAATCTCAAAGGTATCATTGGATCAGAACTGACCCGTTCTCTTGGCAATTAATGTTAAAGCTTAAGTAGGATTTAAAGTTATGTTTTTTTCTTTGTTCTATGTATTCTACAATCCTCGACTTTTGCTACGATCGACAGCAAATTAATTCCATAAATTGTGTATTAGTCAAAATAGTGTTAAATCAACTAGAAAAAAATTCCTAATAAAATGCTCCAATGAAGTTAAAGAACATCTTTCAAAAATTTTCTATGTGATCATTTCTCGACTGTTATTACAGTGAACATAAAAATAATTCAGTAAATTGTATAATACAAAATGTCGGTAAAAGTAGTATTAAATTATCTAGAAACTGCAGCATTCAATATTCCTAATAAAATGCTCCAAAAGGATTAAAGGACGCCGTTTAATGATTTTTAATAAAAATGATTTCCTACGATCTCTATTTTCTGTCTGATAAGTTCTCGGCTGTTGCTATAGTAATCGCACAATTAATTCGGTAAATTGTGTTACAAAAATACAAAAAGATACATAAAAACAATGTTAAATCCCCTGAAAAACTGCAAATTCTCCGGGTTAATTGTGAAAGATATAAGTTCGATGAAAATGTCGTTCCCCATTTAATAATTGTAACAAGTTGAAGGTAATGTAATAATATCCCTAAACTCTTGCAACGTGTTCACAGATTTCTGTTTTACAAATTAATATCGTAAATGCATGAAATCCGCGGTCTTCGGCAACCTTTAGGCCCCAACTTTATTGCACCGAATAAATTTCCAGAATACCTGATAAAGGCAGCAGAGCATGATCCATCCGAGCGGGTGCTGGCCAAGCTGTTTGACAGTCTGCGGCTGCACGTTCAGCGCCTCGAGGAACTCGCAAGCCTTCTCAGCGATGTCGTTGTGGATGAAATAAGCGACGCACAGCCTCTCAACGTGCGGCCACTCCAGTCCAGCCAGATGGATCCTCCTCTGGACGAGAGGAGACAAGGCGGCCGCGTTGCTGGGCGAACAGGTGACCAGGATCCTGGCGTCGGGGAACAACCGGCCTTCGAGGAGGTCCACCGCGTCTCCCAAGGCTGCTCTGCCGCCCACGCACTCGTCGTACCCGTCCAGAATGAACTGGACCCGATCCTCCATCAGGTGCAACGTGCGCCACACCTGAGCGACCGCGTCCCCTAAGGCTGCCGTCCTTGGGAACAGTTCGCGGGACAGGTAAGTCAGCACCGGGCTTCCTCGCAGCTCTCGCAGGGGAATTATGAACGCCAGGGCTGGACCATCCCCCTGGATCGCCCATTGGTGCAGCAATCGCAGGCACAGGGTTGTCCGGCCGCTTCCCGGGCCACCTTCGATTGCTACGCGCCGGGGAGCTTCGGACACCGTGCCGTCGCTCAGCTGTGAACAGGAGAGACAATTTCGATTAGGGTGTCTTTGCGCTTTTTTTAACGAGGTTAACACTAAACCTGCCGCGGTCAAAGTGACCGCTTTCTTATTTTGCAATTCTGCAAAGTTCCGAGACTCTTTCGTGGAAAACGCTTGAATAAGTTAGTAAAGTAAGAATCATTCAAAGAGCATAAAGCCAACACTCGAGGAAATTAGAATTGAACGCTTTGTCGCGTCTCCTTGACATCTCCGCCTACGAAACAATTCTGCGGGGTACGCTTTTCTGGTAACCGAAAGTGTAAACAGGTTTACTGTAAATGTCTCGTTCCATATAGTTTAGAATGCGATTTGAAATGGTGTTAACACTATGTCGTCCGCAGATCTTAGATATGATTCTTTTGTTTGACGCCGGCATAATAGCTTGGAAATTTTAGATTTAAACAAAAATCTCGAAGATGGCGGCAATATAAATTCCTAAAATTAAGATATGTCATCCAAGAATTTTCGTACTTAATTCTTAGGTAAATAAGCACAATGCTATAGTTAGTTTGCTGCCTTTTAATACCCAAGAAATATAGTTCAAATGTTATTTCAGTTTTTGCATGGCACCAGCGTGGTGCCACCGGACGGCATAGTGTTAATAGTTACAAAAGAAAAAGAAAGTGACATGTTCGGTACAACAAATTAGACAACAAATTAGCTTTAACACTAAACCTGCCGCGGTCAAAGTGACCGCTTTCTTATTTTGCAATTCTGCAAAGTTGCGAGACTCTTTCGTGGAAAACGCTTAAATAAGTTATATTATTGGAGCAAGTTTTATAATGAAAACTTTACAAATTCCAAATAAATTCGGTCTTCTCACTTTCGTGAAGCAGTTCATGCCAGGTAGTATTACTGCTTGGTAGGTTTAGTGTTGAAATCGGTTCCCGATTTCTAGAACGCGAGATTATTTAGAATGTTTAGAATGGTTATACGGTGGTCCTTTGAGTTTGGGAAATTATTGTAGGGATTTGAGTGTGCAAATAATTTTGAAAAAATCTTCTGACATAGTTTCAAGTGTACAGTTCAAGGCTGTAAAATGAATTTTAAAAAAAACGCTGATAAAGTTGTGCATTTGTAATTATATTGCGGTACTGTAGATTATCTATGCAGGACATCTACATCTGTCAAGGTTCACTGAATTTTTACGGGTTTTCAAGCGTGTGAAAAATTTTGAAAAATTTTGCTTCATTTACTTTCAATCATCCAGTTTAAGACCATAAATTTAATTTTTTAAGAAACGTCGAGGAAGTTGCGTGTTTGCAACTATGTTGCGATTATTGGTCATGTGTATGCGTCTTTCGACTTTCAATTAATTTTTATAGGTTTTCAAGTATGCGGAAAACTGTTGAAAAAATTTGTTGACACACTTCCAAGTATCCAGTATAAGGCTATGAAATTGAATTGTTCAGAGAACACCGAGGAAGTTGTGTATTTGCAACTATATTACGGTTCCGTTCTTATGCACCACATCTGTGTCCTCCGAGTTTGCATTAATTTTATATAATCTTTGGAGTACTTAAAAAGTTTGGAAAAAATTTCCTAAAGCATTCTCTTTACATAGTTTCACACTATAACGTTTAAATATCCCCCCAAAAAACGGAGAAGTTTCACAGTTCTCTCTAAGTTTTCTACAATCCAATTTTCAATTGCAAAATGTCATACCTTCCTGTAGCATTTCGAACCATTAGAAAACTGAAAAATATTTGTTTAGAGATCTACAGGTATTGTTAATATTATTTTGTTTCTTTTACATCTTTTTTATTCTTCATATTTATTTGCGTACGTTCAACATGGGAAAATAAATTATTATTTAAAAATTAAGGAAGAGAAGTCTATTGATTATATCGTTCCAATTTAACATCGGGTTCCAATAAATTTGATATTTTCAAATTTAATTACGTTTTATTTGGATAGTTTATAAAAAGAAAACAGTCCGAAACATTTGCAACCGTAATTGTTCGAGCGCGAATTGAAAAGTTATCGCATTCGCAATTGCTTCTCCACGGTTGGATAAATCAGTGTAACGTGATTAAATTGTCCAGCATTTAATTGCAGCTGCTTATCGGCTAATTCCATGTTCACGCGTGTCCGGGCAATGTTTTCCGTTGGAAGGCCGCCCGCTGGAATATCAATAGGTTGCGCAACGGTGAACAAGATCTGGTCAGCTCGGAGAAACGGCTGGGCCGTCGAATAGGATTAGTGGTTCACGCGGGTAGGTTCTAACTTCTAATTGGTAGCTAGCCGAGGATCAGGAAGCCGAGAAGTATCCGAGAAGCTGGTCACGAAGCCGCCAACTTTTGTTCTTATTGCTGGTCTGGTTGTCTATCCCCGACGAACCAGCCACCGGAACACGGGCCGAACTGTCCTCCCGCAAACCTTTTTCCTCTTATTTCCCACAAATTCTTTGGACGTCGCGAGCGATTCGTTAAGAAGTAACGAGGTTGTTGTTTCTCATTTTTGCGGAACGTTTTCGCGCAACTGCTACTGCAATCAGTTGTCCTTGCGAATTGAATTGAATTATTTTTACAATTTCTAAGTTGTAAAGCTGCGGAAAGCTGAAGTTTTTGTGTTTTGTCCATCACTTTCGGTACGATTTGTCTCTCTTATAGTTACGTTGATTAGCACTTCGTGCTTAACTCTTCTAGTTTTTGGCATCAGTAACGTTGCGGGCGACTCAAAGTGAAGTCTTAATAATTAAAATATTATCTCTTAGTTTATTTCTTATTATTTATTATTTCGTATATTTTTCATATATTGTATTATTGTATTATTATATTGTATATATTATATATATAATAGTAATAGTATATAATACTATTATACTATTATATAATAGTATACAATATAACAATACAATAATACAATATATGAAAAATATACGAAATAATAAATAATAAGAAATAAAGATAAGAAATAATAAAATAAGAGATAATATTTTAATTATTAAGACTATATTGTATATTGTATATATTATATTATATTATTGTCATGTATTATATTGTTATTATATATTATTATTATTATTATTATTATTATTATTATTATTATTATTATTATTATTGTTACATCTTATATATTATAGGGTAGGTTG